GAGAGAGAGAGAGAGAGAGAGTCATTAGCGGTGGCTGCACGTTGCTCTCTGCAGCACTTGCGCACTCCTCGCTCCGCTCACCTCTGCGCGCAGAGAGAGCCGACGCACGCCGCCGCTCCGTAACCAGCTACCGGACTCACAGTCCACCGGTGGCCGGAGGGGTTGTCCACCACCGGCACCGAGACACGGTATCGGAACACCACCCGCCTCCCCCAACCCACACACACACACACACACACACACTCCCCTCCCACCTCCCTCCTCCCGTGCCCAGTGTTGCGCTTCTGCTGCAGCGTCCAAGTTCAGGTGAGCGCTGGTGTCCGGCACAAGTCCCGACGCACAGACCGGGATGCTCGCTCCCTCCCTCCCGTCCGATGGGATGCTATAGATGGGCCGCGCAGGATGTGAAGCCCCGCTAGAAGAAGCAGGAGGAGGATGGCTACACCAGGCTCGTCTGCGGCGGTGCTGCTGCTCCTGCTGGGCTTCCTCTCCGCGTCCTCCGTCAATGCCGGTGAGTTGTGTTTATTAGCCACCACAGGTGAGGGATCATCGCGAGTAAACAAGGCACGACGGGTGTGTTAGTCGCTGGTTCAGCACATGCTGCTGTAGTGGTGATGATGTGGTGCATGCACAGTACGGAGCATAGCAGGTCCCTTCGGAAAAGCACCTGACGTGACACCTTGTTCAGGATGTGTTCGCATCTGCTCATGTCTGTGTTGTTTTGTGCATCAACATCTGCATCACATGAGACAACTAGCTTTGCAATGACAAACATGGCTGACTCAGTTTAGTCCAGTCCTGGTACAATTTAGTATAGATACTTAATATGTTAATATAAAAACAAGGTTTTTCTTCCAGTAGTTGGAACATGTTTCTAGGAATAAGTATTTTCCTTGTACTGTGTGATTGGCTCAAGAAAGTTCTGTCTTTTTTCTTTGGGTTATATACCTGCAAAAAATGTGCACTCAATTCAGTGGCGGATCTAGGATTTGTCGGGGCCATAAAGGGGGCCACAGTTTATACACAGGGAGGATTATATGTCCAACGTCCATGCACAATTCCTGATCCAGTAAGGTGCTGTCGTATATTGGGGTTGCGATGATGTGAAGATGATGAAGGAATCTCCGATGACACCGTCTTGATTGTATATAAAAGTTTAATACAAAAAGTTCAGCATCAATACAAGCAAAGCAATCTGCCTGGAGAGAGATTCGGGGCCAATGTGAATCTCTCCTGCCTGGAGAGAGATTCGGAGCCAATGAAGCAAAGCAATCTGCCTGGAGAGAGATTCGGGGCCAATGTGAATCTTCTCTGCTGCCTGGAGAGAGATTCGGAGCCAATATGAATCTCTTCTCTGCTGCCTGGAGAGAGATTCGGAGCCAATATGAATCTCTTCTGAGGGGCAACTTCAACTCCTCGTTTATATAGGAGTGTTGTTTTCATAATCCTAAAGTAAACACATCTGGTTTCTTATCCAGCTCTTCACGGTTATACAGTGACAGGAAGGGAGACGACACTAGCCCAAATTTAGTGTTGCACTTAGAGCTGTGACCTATCACCCTACCATTTGTTCAGGCTTTCTCCAAATTCCTCAAGACCTGTGGACCTCAAACCTAAAGATAAATTTCTTTTATGGGGAAGACTACACATAGCATTTCAGACACCACAGTGCAGAGTTAAGTCAGTCCTTGTTTGCTGACTTCTCTATAGCTTTGATTCAAAGCCACACGTCATTGAATATATTTTGTCCTTCTTCAAGCACATTGTGTACTTTAAAAGGCTTAAAAAATAAATGATTTCTAACAAATTTTTAATAAGTAACTAATTCATTTTTCTTAAAGACTACTGATAATAAAGGGGTACTTCAGGGGCCAGTCAGACTTCAGCTGAGGCCATGCATTTTTGTATTATTCACACTTTTTTGATTATCAGTTAATTAAGAAAATAATTAGCCACAGCCCTTAAGTGCATGTCCATGCCTTAAAACCTGAGCTACAGCATCCATCGGTGTCCCACTATGAGATTAAACGACAATGCATTATTCTGTTCAGAGCCCTAAACATGCTGCATAGCTCTAATCATCATATATCATGCATGATGGATATAGCACCTCATCTATCTTTCATGATATTGCATATTATTATCCTGCGGCAGCTTACGTTCCAGTGGAACATTCATTTCAGAAGCGAGATCTCACATCTTATGGTGTTACATCGCATCTGGGTGATAAGCTGAGAGATGACAGATAGTCCTTTGTATAGCCCTAATCCTGCTGATAAAATCATGGTGGATTTATCTCAGCCTGCAGGGATTTGATATTTGGCTTCCTGAGGCTGGAGATGAATGTAGTTTTAAGAGGGAGTTTTGTGATGCTGCAGCCAGCGTCTGGAATTTTTTTCTCTGGCAGCAAACAGCTCAAGAATGGATGGGAATCCCTGTTCGCTCTCGTATTGTTTCTCTGTGGGTGTGTGAGTGCTGGAAGATAAATAGCAGGGAAACAGCTAGTCAAACATGGAGCCGTGGCTATGTATCACACACGTTTGAGCAAACGCCACACATCTACTCTGCATCTACACACACACACACTCAGCCGTTGGGAGCCACTGAGAGAGTGTCGCCCACCAAAATATTAATCTCACCAGCACTAAGCAACATTCCAGTTTTCTCTGCTGGGTTCTGATGAATGTGTCGGAGGGAGAAAAAGAGAATTTATTCTTCCTCCCTGAAAAACATCATTTGAGCCCTCAAACGACTCTCGGGCTGGATGGTACAATATTTGCACACGTGTGAGACAATGAGACTAATTTGTATTAAGTGACAGACTGTAGTTTCTACTGGTAATCTAATGGGCAAACATAGAGAGAGAGAGAACAGAGAACGGCACTGTAACTGGATCACACACTTTGAAACAGAGTGGTGAGGGTTACAGCTGCATGAGTGGACAGAAGGAGGTCAGGATTAAGGGGAGACTCAGTAACTTTTGTAAGATGCAGTAACTACATTTTCCTCTTACAGATAAAAGGTTCATACACACAATCATTAGCTACAGCCTTACTACCACGAGATAATAAAGACAAACCTCTGAAACTTGATAAGTGTCTTTTTATTTGAAGTTTGAAGTACCATTGGAAGTAAGGATATAAAAAAATGCATAATGTATAAGCAAGGCCAGACACCTTGTAAAAATACATTGATTAGTTCTGATTGGTCTGATAGTCGACTGAAGTAGCTTTGTAGTTGCTTTGTTTGCACAAAATGAATAAACCAGCAAGCTGTGCATGCTGGGTAATGACACTAAATCAGCTAAGAAGTGATGTGTTGAGTATTTTGGATTTGTCAGTGGGAAGGTATGGATAAAGGTTCGCAATTTGCAGCAGATCCAAAACATACATTAGTTTGCAATTGTTCCAACTTCTCTTTTCGGTGACTTTATGAACCGTCATTATTTGTGTTATCACAAAGTTGAAATTTCTGACAGCGTTCACAGTAGTTGCTTGAGTCCACTATTCACTCTTTGGGTCTCCTCCAAATCCCGAGGGAAATATTGTCTCTTCACTCGCTAAATGCACACAAGGTAGTCCCATTTGTCGGTCTTCCATTTTGTCCTCCTAAAGATGCTGGTGAGAGCAGTAAGAGTTATTGGCCTGAAAAGCACAACAGTGTGTTCAAAGACAGTATACGCTGCTTAGAGCTGAACTACAGATTTTCATCATTTTTATGTGTGCGTTTGTATGTTAGTTTACTCTTTTTTTATGTGAAACACTCAACGCACGTCATTTCTTTGTACCCCAGGATACTGTGCTTCCTTATTATCACTCAACCCTAATAAAAACACTGATAATAGCTGCTTTCAGTCACGAAACAAATCAAGCATTAAAACTGGTAAAGCTGGAAGAAAAGTGTGCATTTTAATCAGCCTGTATAAAGAACGAAGCAGGGCCTTTCCCTTGAGCTTGACTTGTAACAGCAACATCAGAGTCAGACCTTGATATACAGACATTCACATTAGCAGGTTTTTCTCCACTCTGTGCTTGAGGGGGGCAGGAAATTAAACGAGACTGTAATTTAATCCATCACAGATAATCTCCCAACAAATACATGCAGGGCCGACTAGGATGTATCATCGACTGATATAATAAATACATCCTCATGAGTCACGCTTTAATGAGACGTGAGTGGGAGAGACAGAGGATAGAGAAGAGAGAGATGGAGATAGAGAAAAGGTAAAGATTGGAAAATGTGAAATAGTAATCAGTGTGTGTGTGTGTGAGAGAGAGAGAGAGAGAGAGACTAAGACAGATGTGAAAGAGTGAGCTTCTTTCAAGGGAAACACCAGCAGACCTGTGTGTTGCTAATTAGGCCTTGTATTAATGAGAGGAGGAAGATTAATCTGTGGGTGGGGGAGAAGATCTTAGAGAAGGCAGAGCGAGAGAGCAAGCGAAGTTCACAGAGAGAGAGAGAGTGATGGAGCGGGCGAGATGTGTGTTCAACCACTGTGTGTATTACAAGACATAAAGACAAAATATTAATGACCTGTCTCATCTAAATTGTTTCCTGTGGCCATGCTGCATGTGTGTGTGTGTGTGTGTGTGTGTGTGTGTGTGTTTGTGTGTGTGTGTGCGTGTGTGCGTGTGTGCGTGTGTGTGTGTGTGTGTCAGACCCCCTGCTGTCAGCTCCGCTCAATGTGACCATCAGAGAGCTTGAGGTCAACTCCGCCGTGGTCACGTGGGAAATCTTGGAGGGGGACCCCGTTATTGGATTCGCCATCACCCAGCAGGTACGTGTGTGTGTGTGTCTGTGTGTGTGTGTGTGTGTGTGTGTGTGTGTGTGTGTGTGTGTGTGTGTGTGTAAGGAAAAGCGACAACTTCGGACATCACAGGTTCTTGTGCTGTGAGGTGAAAAAGGACAGATATATGTAACCATAGGGTTAGTTCAGTTTTTGTAGCTTGGCGTGTTCACTAGCCCACTTACCCACACAGTCAAAAGCTGCAGCGGTGGCGTGGCACACAGCTTATGATGGCAATTAAGGTACTTTCAAACCCTTCGCGCTTGATTGGTGTAATTTCCCTCTTAAATCTCTCTTGGAATCATTACTCAGTCCAATATTAAACCATTGAGGTGATGCACATATTTTCTGATTCAGTGCGACTTACGGTTTCTGAGAATATCATCGCTTTTTACATCCATTGCAAATAAGCATTCATAAATCCTGGTAGAAATCATAAAAATATATGCTCCTTGTAAATCCACAACTTGAAAGAGAATCATGGAATCACAGTTTTCCAGTGAGAGTTTGTTTCACAGCTAACCTGACCTACTTTTAATGGTGCCAATTTGCCAAAAATGTATAGGCTGTTTTTTAATTTGAGGCAAGGTCGACAGTGTCAGTCTTAAAAAACCCATTGATATTCATAAAAAACCTAAAAGTTAAGTTACATTTTTGCGGTCAAGTAACATTTTCAGATGCATTTCCAATGTAGATTTTGTCCACATGCAGTTTTAATGGGTTCAGAAATTCCCTTCTTTAATTGGCTAGTAAATAATAATGTCCCTAAGGAGACTTCCTCTTGCTCTAGCAGGAACCAATTGACCTGAGCAAGCAAGTCCTAGCTGGATAATAATGTACATTTCAAGTAGAGTGTACGCAGCCAGAGAAGCATTATGTTTCTTTAACCTTAATTACATTCCAAGAAAAAACCCTCGAGGCTTCATTTCAACTTTCCCGACCGCTGCCCACGATAGACGTGTTCGCATTTGCACCAATCAGCCTTAACCAGAGGGAATTTTTACATGAGAGTTGATTTGCAGCTTGACTGTAGCACCAGAAATCTTTGATTAAGTATTCATCCAGCAATTTTCTGCGAACAAGTAGATAACACCTCTGTTGTTCCCCCTTGAATCTTTGTTCTTTACATGTTGGAAAACATCTGAACCGCGCAAATTCAAAACCCTCTATAATCTATGGTTTCAAAATATCAGACAGTGACCAGATGCATCATTTAACCCTGACCTGTGATTTCTCAGCAGAAGTGGTGCCAAAATGAAAAAAAGAACTTCACTGCAGGGATCAATAGAGTATCACATTACACTGAACCTCCTGGCCCTGATTTCTCTGCTTCTCTGCTCTCACCACTCGTCTGCAGAAGAAGGACGTACGCATGCTGAGGTTCATCCAGGAGGTGAACACGACCACACGCTCCTGCGCACTGTGGGATCTGGATGAGGACACCGAGTACATCGTTCACGTTCAGAGTATCAGCATGGGAGGTAGCAGCCCCCCCAGTCAGCCCGTTCTCTTCAGAACGCCCAAAGAGTCGGAGAAGATGGCGTCCAAGAGTCCAGGTGAGGGACGACAACACGCACTGTGCCTTGTTTAAAAAAGAAGTTTATTTGAGAATGTGGAAAATGAGCCACTTTCAGCTCGAGAACAACTCTGTTAAAAACTGTTATACACACATACTGTGGGTGGATCATTAAATATATGCAAGAGTAAACAAAAGTAAGAATAAAAGCACACAGAAGCACTCATGCATGAGCCCGGGAGCACTCACACAGAGAACACTAACATTCTGCTTCTGAGGACGACACTCACACAAGCTCATGAATGGAAGACACGAATGCAAAAGTTACAAGACAACTGTAAAAGCATCATCATCAATGTATGAGCCTCACAACAGAAACACAACCACAATGGAAGTGAGCAACAATGTTAATGAAAGAGTTGATGAATGCACAGGTCCTGACCCTCACCAAACAATAATCATATAAAAGCAGTTGTGTTCTTCCTTGTTGGGCGCTTGTCTGGGTTTTCACAAACTATGGCTCACTTGACCACAGTTAGTATCTCAGCTCATTTCTGCACTCTTCTGTTGTGGTTGTGTTTTTGTTTCTGGCTTTTGTAGTTACGATTAAGGCTTTGCAGTTGTGTTGCAGCTTTTTGCAGTTGTGTTTTCATTAATGCACTTGTGTGAGACGTCTCGGTCACCGTACACAAACACACCTACCCGCACCTGTGTGTGTCTACTGAAGCAGCTCCATGCACAAAGAAAGTTTAATGGCAGAAACAGACTCACAGCAGAGGAGTAATGTTCCGGTAATGCTTCTTTGGGACAATGAAATAAAAAACAGAAATACCAATCTCTGTGGAAACCCCCCCACTCCTCCCATGCAATGCATTGTTCTATATCTCAAATGCAGAGGTTGCTGTAATCTAGAGCTGCTTGCAGTCCTTCCAATTTTATCATGTATGACCCAGTTACAGCGGCAAGAGCAGCTTCAGAGGGACGCAGGAAATGCTAAATGCTCATCAGCAGCGAGTTGATAAGAGAGGGAAGAGGGGACATTAGGGAGCAGCATGGTCCCCTCATGTAGGAGCTTGTTGTCCCTGTGAGGTGAGGGTGGACTGACATCATTAACAGGTGACTAAAGATGTGAACCTTTCAGACACAAGTCTGTTTTTCATATATAATGAACGGAGCAGGAGATTTTCATGGTGATTTTTTCAGTGTTACATGTCACTCGTACTTGCTGATTTTCTGGACATAAACCTTCTTTATTCTCACATGGGCATTTTTGGGACATTTTACTAGGGGACTGGCAGGAACAGTTCATGAGAAGGTCCGCAGCAACTGACTCAGACATTTGTGATCTCTCACACAGCCTCTCTGGAGAAAGTCTAAAAAGTTCAAGAAGTTAAAAGTCTAACAGAAGATTTGTGAACATCTGAGATCAGACCAGGATTTTGTCTGGAGTTGACCTTGCACACATGCTGTGCAAAAGTGGAGTGTGTTCTCACTGAGTGGAAATACTAGGCGAGGATAGTCTCTGGAGATCAGCACCACTCAAAGGCACGGCAGGAGAGAGGATGGCTATGTCATCAACACACTGTGAATTCTCCAGACAATGAGCTGCTCTATTCACACATCGACTTTATCGGACATCACACATACTGTGTACCAGGGCGCTGGCAGGGTAAAGTCCATTTAATGTCCGGTTCCACTGATTCAAACATTTGGGTTCACACATGCAGCTCCTTAAGATGACGGCTAGACATTTTCAGGCTTGCAGTGCACGTGTGAAAGCAACAATCCAGAGACATTGTCAAAAGGAAATGGCCATTTTTTGTCTTTTGTCTTTGTCTGCAACAGCAAACCTTCCCTATTTGAGCAGCTCATACCGTACGCAGTTGACAGAGAAAACTGGAGCACATTTTTAAATTCTGAAACATAAAGGTCTTTTATTTCAGACATAGAGACATAAACAGGCTTATCGCTTCTAGATTTGTGTGGATTTTGTAGGCACAAACGTAGCTGGCAGATCTAGAACCAGCTCACATAGAGCAGGGGAATACTATATGCAGCGGATGTAATAGTCAGGAAACAAGAGCCTGTTAGACCTGTTGTTCCTAGTTAACTGTGCAAAGCTATAGTGATTAAATCTATACTTTAATTACTAATGTGATTGTGACCGTAGCTCAAAGAGTGACAGATACTGTGGCTGAGCAGAGTACATTATCTGATATATTCCAAAATTAAATGTCAGAACACAAATTGTTACAGTGTTTGATCGTAAAGTGCAAAAACGACTGAGACACTTTAAAAAGTCAAAGTAAAGTTGTGATTTTAAGTGTAAGACAGAAATATTGTTAGTATGGTTATGCTTTGCCATGGATGTGAGGTCATGTGACTTAGATGTTTAGTGGGACAATTTGTTCTGATGTTGAGGGGCGGACTTGCTTCAACTTTGATGGAAGTTCCCTGTGTGCAAATTGTGTGTGTGTTTGTGGAAGCATTCATTAGGCGGCCTGATTAAATCTCTCAGCCATTACTGCTTTCCTTCCCCTCTAAGCTGATATTAATCAGCCTGACACCATGTAGTATATGCAGGTGCAATGCAACACCACACACAACCTCCCTGTGTTTTTCTCTCAGTCCGTTTGTCTGTTATCTTCCTTCCTATCTGCCTGTATTCCCTTGTCTGTCTGTAGCTCATGTGTAAAAAACTTCAAAAGCCCTGAATGCTCTGAAGTTTCCATAATGTAGGAAAATCCTTGGTGGCTAGTAATGCAGAGTAATGTTTTATGTCAGTTATTATTATGTAGCTTTTAAAGTAAACCTCAGAGCGGGGCGGACAGGGCGGACAAGTTGAAAGGGCATTGAACTACCATTGAGCAAGAGCATCCGTCACAGAGGAGCTTGGTCCATGGTTCCAACATAATTCAGACAGCACCATGCATGACAGGGCTCCTTAAGCATTAATAAGGAAAGGAGTGCGGTAAAACAAGAGCATCTTTGTCGCTGGAGGACAGCCCATTCCACAGCTGGCCAAAAAGCCACTCCCAACGCCTGGAGGGGGCAGCACACTGCAGACCTGTCCAACAGACAGATGGGGAAACTGGCCAAGCAGCTACTTGCAGGGACCCTGTCAAAGACTGATCAAATCAAAGTCATCAAGCTACAGCACATTAAGGCAGAATCCCAGGACTGCCAGGAGTCCTGGACCCATTTGGATGCGACCATGAATAGACACTTTAGTTGGGCAGAAATCTGCAGCAGCAGCCGATGACACCCTCCCACGTCCCCATAAAGTTGCCCAGTGGTTTGGCTGTCTGCTGTGTGGCAACTTCAAGACAAGTTTCCAAAAATTGCTGAGCTGATTAATACCAAACTTGGTAGAGGGATGGGGTCTTGGATCAGCACCAAATTCCACACACTCATAAATAACATTCCCTTAAACATGATGTTGGTCATTTACATCCATGAATTGTTCTCTGAAAAAAAAAACTGTCTCTCAATGTCAAAGAAAGTGGTGGGAAACAAATCCTGGATATGCTCCCTGATCCAAATCCACATCAAAATTTCATGTCGTTTTCCGTGGCCCAAACCACATCCTTTCACCAAGTTTTGTTTTTTTTGTGTAATGGTGCTAACCGTAGTTTTTAATTATTTTAATTATTTTAATTAAAAAAATAATAATTTGCTGCCCTAATATGTGTATAAAGTAGCATGGCCGTATAACGCAAGATGGTGACTCCAATCTGTACGTGAACATATAGCTGCTCTGGTGATGACCTCATGGAGGGACAGTGGCAGCCTCAATACAGGGAGATGAAGAGTAGACATCAACCTACAGCTTCAGGTGATATCAAACCATGTCTTTGTGAATCAGAATAAAATGTCCTCACTGCAGAACCATGTAATCTGCCATTACCAAATTATTGCAGTATAACGCCCCTCTCTGTCACGCTGGAGGCCTCAGCTCAGCACAGAGGGATAACCATGGCAACAGGAGACCTGGGAGCAAGCAGCGTCGCCCCTGACTCATTCAGACAACAACAACAAAGTCCTGAAGAGACATGGGGACCCCTTTCTGCAGCATTATGTCTACATGTAACTGATCAAACTTCAAAATAAAATAATTCATTAAGCCTCTTCAACATACAGACTTCTTTAAAGTTGTAGAGATTTGTTGAGTTGGTGTTATGATCGAGTTCAACCTTCTTTAAATAAGAGGGACACATAGGAAATGGGGGTTACCATGAGAGCGGCTCTTGGCAACAGAGAGCGAGAGCTGTCCTGTTCAAACCTTTAACCCAGTGAATGTTGTTGTGCTGGAGCTGCAGGAGAAACACAATGAGTGACAAGTGGTTAAGGATCGAGCTCCCTCTGTCTCCACGGACCTCTGCTCTCACTTAGCTTTAATTACACTGACCAGAGTGCAGAATTTACACCAGGCAGCACCTCTGCTCTCCCGTCACCTCGTTTGATTCTTTTATCTTCCCCTGCAGACTTTCAGTGAAATGGCAATTTTACATTTGCTCTCTGGTACAATGAATTGCAGTGTCCTCCGTGGCGCTTTGCTGACTCTGTGTGTGTGTGTGTGTGTGTGTGTGTTCTTCTTAACCCCAGATGAGGTGACAATGGAGGAGTTTGGTCACGCCGCCCAACTGAGGGCTGGAGAACTCATCATCATTGTAGTGGTGCTCATCATGTGGGCAGGTAATACTCCTCTCCTCTTCAGCATCACACATTTATCACTGCAGATCTTATAGAAATCCACTGTCTGTGCAGCAAATGAGCTCTGTGGCTGAAGTCCTATTAAGACACACACACACTGGTGGTGGTGTCATCTCTCTATGATGACTACTTTGTTTCCTGCAGTGCTTTTGAAATGACGTAAAGCCGACCAGTATGCATTTTAGGGTGATCACAACACATCAAACCCAGGTTTTTCATTCTGTACAGCCATCAACAAAAAGCAAGAGATGAAAATATATGGGTTTAAAGGTCCAGTGTGTAAGATTTAGGTGAAAGGGAACTATTGGCAGAAATGTAATGTAGAATAATCCTCATGATGTTTTCACTAGTTTGTTCTAAGTTGTATGAATTGTAGTTTTCTTTACCCCAGAAAAGATCTTTTATATTTAAATACTTTATATTCACATCGAGGGGGTCCTCTCTATGGAGGCTGCCATGTTTTTTACATTAGGCCAGACTGGACAAACTAAACACTACCACAGGTTCTTTTTCATGTTTGGAAGGAGAGGGTGAGGTGAGGGTTGTTCAGCTGCAACTTGACATTACAAAATTCTACACACTGTACCTTTAAGAGGCAAGAAGTTATCAGAACAGAAATGTGTTTTAGTAAAAGAAAAGAAAAACATGAAAGTGAGTTGTTTCTCTGTATGAGATGTATTTTAGTCATAAAAACCATAATTTCAGGTTGAACCTCATCCTAAGGGGAGAAGTGTTTTAGCCCAGTCTGCTCAGATTGGCCAGCTGGAGCACAATCACTGTTGTGATTGGTTAATTGCCTCCACCATGTGTAGGAAATGTTGGTGTCTGCTGTCGATTTACCTGTGTTTTTTAGGGGGTGTGCCAGAATTAGCAAGGCGTCCATATGCAAATGTGGCCATATGATATCATGATGATGCAGAAGTATTGGGCAGACCACAGACTAGGCGTCTTAGGAGCTTCAGTAGCAGTGTGTTTTTTGAATTTCCAGATATTTTACTTACATAAAAGACAATATTACACACTAGAGGGAAGAAAAACGGAGAAAGCATCAACTGTCTCCTTCAAATTGATCAGCAAATAGTTTTTATTCCCTCAGGCAAAATGTTCTTCTTCTTTGCTTCTTCTTCTTGCAGCCTGGTAAAACATAGAGCACACACATAATTGAACATAAGATAATAATAACATAATAGATCAAATATAACAGCATCATGAATCATGTGTAGTATACTGTAGTATGTGTGACAAATTATTCACGCTGTAAACGTCAAACTAACGGTGCTTTATTGCACTGGTGGAAGACAAGTATATCGATAAATGACAGTGTAACACATTACAAATCAAGTTACAGTGTCATTATGGCTGGTAAACTCCCATCATCTTCAATCCTGTAGATACACACACTTACAATGACAGCATGTTGACATCCCTGTAACACACATTATGGCACAGTCAGAAATATAATTTGTCAGCCATGCTCCGCTCAGACACAGTGGTACTGTGGTAGGCAACATGGTCAGAATCTCATCGTGGTGCGTTGGCATGCTAACGTTTAGCTAATTAGCGCTACACACAGAGCACAGCTGAGGCTGATGGGAATGTTATTAGTTTTGGAGTAGTAGACAAATTAAAATTTGGAAACGATGATGAGACTATTTGAAAGGTTCTGGGACCCCCGAAGTTATTACAGTTCATCCTGAGAGGGGGACACAGATGTCTGCACAAAATTAAATCCATTCATGAGAGGATTCAGACTGAACCAAAGTGATGGAGTGACTGACATCATCATCATCTCTATAGATTCACCTCTAGCATCGCTGGAATTAATCTAAATATACTTTAAGGCTCATTTATGCTCAAAGAGACAGATGAGGACAGAGACCTCTGTTGGTAATCTGCATTCATTTTATTTAACTTTTTATATTTCGCATTGTTTGTGCACGTCTTCTGAGAGCTTATGGGATAAGGACAAAACAGACAGAACATAGCACCACCGCCAGCAATTGTGGGGGGCAGTGAAGCCAGTAGCTGAAGTGACACAACCATAAAACAGTTGGTTTAACAAACTACAGGCATCAGCATGTTTATGATCTACGCTGTGGATTTGCTTTGAGAGGAAAACACTGACTTAGAATATAAATACTGTCTATTCCGTAAAAACAGTATTATATATATATAAAATAACAGTGAGACGCCTTGATTTCCCTCGCAAATCACCTGTAAGACGACAAGTGACAGAGGGAGATTCAAACAGGGTTGGAGAAGGAGAAGTGAGGGAAAAGCGTGGAAATCTGAGTAATCCAAACTCCAAAAAAGTGAGAGCTGTATGGTGAAAAAAAAAGTTTTGTTGTGTTTTTCAGCTTTTAATTGGGCCTATGGGGCATGCAGGGGGATATCACAGTGAGATATCCCATGTTGCCCTTCGGTATTGTGGTGATGAAATGAGCAGGGGCTGATAGAAGCAGAACAGCCAAGACCGAAGCCTGATCAGGGCAGATTCATCCATCCACACACTCCTCCACTGTCATGAATAATTCTCTTTCCCCTTTTTTTGTGCTTGTTCCGTATCTCTCTCTGCATCTGTCTCCCCTCTCTGCCACATTTTTAATCTTTTTGACTGAGGGCACACAGCACATGGCTATCAAAACATCAAGTCCATATCTGCATCTGCACATTTCACCGTGTTCACGTCTCTCTCCTTCAGCTCTCCACGTGTCTGCATTAGTGACACATCAGATGGCTGTTCCCTGAATAGAAATAACAAATAAACTAGTAGATATCATCACCACCTCTATGTGTAATTGAAATAGCTGTGTTGTTGGATTTAGATATGTAAACGAATACAACAAAATCAGACAAATGAAAAACTAATTCAGATTACTGGAGAGCAAATTTCCAATATTTCCAGAACAAATTTCAAGTCACATGCACTATGGCCACTCAAAACTTACCATTATTCTTCATTCCCAATATCCTTTTCCCTCAGGTGTGATCGCCCTGTTTTGTCGTCAGTATGACATCATTAAAGACAATGAGCCCAACAACAACAAAGACAAAGCCAAGAACTCCTCAGAGTGCAGTACTCCTGAGCACCCACAAGGGGGGTTACTGCGCAGCAACGTCTAAGACCAGCCCTGTGTCGCCTTCTGCAATAACCAATTCCTTGTACCTCAGGACAGGTGAGGAACAGAAACAGAAAAAGTTCCCTGAGATGGAACAGGGTCTTTCGTAATAAGGTGGGAATCTATCTGATGTGATGTGATAGATGCTGTTTTTGATTTAAATTTTTCAAATTTTCAAACTCTTACCTTCTCTTTAAGGCCTTTATTAAGGCTCAGTAGATGTAGGCAGACAGTAGGTGGAGTTAGGGCATGAGCAGTTGTCAGTAACAGACAGGCAGATTAACAAGGCTTAAAGGGAAAGGGAGGAAAGAAAAGGCAAAATCCACCCAAGGCAGGTTATCAAAAACAAGCAGGCGAGAATGAAAGAAAAGCTGGAAAGCTACACTGTAGAAGAACACAACAAATAACATGGCAGGGATTGAATGGAAATGGGCAGACATCTAAGACCTGATTAGGGAAATTGGGTAAAGGTGAGTTGGTGTCCAGGGAAGAGCTACAGTTTGATGAAAGGCAGTAAAGCAGGGATCAGTGCAGGGCGGGAGGGAGGAGAAGGGTCTGAAATGACAGGAGAATTAGTAATGAAGAAGAAGCAGGCTGAAACTCCCTGAACTGTGATTTCACAGTCTAGTCAAAGCAGCCATAACTAGGCACTTAAGGTCTGTCAAGCTCTGGAGTTCTCAACACTCTGTGTGTGGCATGGTGTCTGGTGATTTAAAACCAAAATACAAGAGCAAAGTTTTAAGCAGTGGATCCACTGTGGCTCCACACATGAGCACTCCAAGCTAACTAGCCATACCTAGTAATACCAATGGGAATACTGTTGTGTTTTTTTGTGTATGGTTGCAGGTTATTCTTGAGAAAGCCCTGTTCGGGACTGATGCATCCACAGGTTTAAGGGGACAAGAGCTTCCATTTCATTTCAGTCTCTGTCGTTGTAGCTGTGAACAGTAAAGTTCAATAGAGTTACGATGTGTTAGTGATATTGTTATTTCAGTTAAATCCACAGCCCACACCTGAGTGAGAACCAGTGTACCCATTTCTTCAGACGTTGCGGATACATTTCTGCATTAAATCTGTCACTGTTATCCCTGTAAAGTGTGAACAATCGAAAACTTAGATGTAGTTACAGTAAACATGGGGGTAAAGTAAAGTACGGTGGCCAAGGCCTTTCACTTAATACCATTAATGGAAAACACGAATGCAAACAGCACAACATGAATGGAAAAGTGACAACACAACTACAAAAGCAACAATGGAAGTCAGCGACAATCAATGTTGACAATGGACAAACTTGTAACCTTGATTCACTGACAACTGGTGATGCTCACTTCCGTTGTGATTGTGTTTCCATTATGTGGCATTTGCAATCTTGTAGTTTCTTTTGCGTTTGTGTTTTCAGTTACTGCGGCTGTGTGAAAAGTCTCAGTCACCATAGACATGGCTTGGTGAACTCATAAGAACTTTTTTTCCAGTCTTGTCCTGAGCTCTTGCTGTCCTTTGTCTCTCATTATGTGCAGTAACATTGTTTTTTTCCAGACCCTGAGACCAACAGAAAGCCATTCTCAGACACCATCCTACTGAAGTAAAGATTAACCATCACAGAAGCTTCACACTCTGAAGAACTCTTGAAATACAAAAGACACAAACGTGAACTTGAAGAATCACAGGCTTCAAACAGTCCAACAGGAAACAGGAGAGGACACAACCACTTTCACTTTTGTTGTGACCAAAACTGGACTGAAGCCTTCTTTTTGTGGGCAGCCGATATGACAAAACATAGAGTGTCAAGGCACCAGTTTCTTCTTGACGAGAACTGCTTGATTCATACGTTCTGGTTACTCTTCATCAGCGGCATCAAATCCCAGGAGTGGATCATCAAACATGAATGCCTGTTGTTTGTATTTTCAACTGAAGGTCAGAGATGGCAGAGATGTGGTCTGCCTCACAGGAACAGCCGGTCCTTTAGGCCCAGGTATCAGTCAGCACACAACACAACAAGCGAAACTCTGTTTTAAACTAAGGACTTTCTCTTTTTCTATCTGTCCACCCGTCATAACCTCCTATTTTTTGTCTTGACCACAGCCCTCAGTGTAGCAGCTCATCTCTCTCCTTGTCTTTCTGTGACTGTGTTTCTCTAATAAGCACATTACCATTTGGTGCTCCTCCCACTGTGATTGTTTCTGCCCTCACAATCCCAGTCTTGAATATGGTATCATTTTGACACTGTACATCGAGTCTTACTCTCTGTCATCAGATAAATGATGTGTTTATTTTTTAGGTCTGAACTGGAACTTAAAGCCCTTGTCAGTGTGGAGATACAACACATTTATTTTAATGCTTTATTTTAAAACATCCCGTATTTTGTTTATTTGAGTCAAGTGGCGTTGTCTGAACACAGACATGATTCAGACAAAGTTAAAGGATTTGCCAAGATTGGTCATCAAAGTAGTTTCTTACTCCAGATCCAAATAAACAGGTTTGAACTTTGGCAGTTATCAAACTTAAGCAAAATAATGGCATGGCTGGATAATGATCCAGGTTCATATTGAGGGTCATTGTTGAGCGCTGCATATTCAGCACCATATGTTGTCTGTGGTCTGCAGCTGGATGTGCAGGGAATAATGATGGAGGTATGAGGAGAATCGTTTCTTAATGAACAGAACATACAGAGCAAAGTTTGGCTGGGTTTCCTCTCTGGTTTGGCTGGAGACCAGCAGGGATGCCAGGCTGTGGAGGCACACAGCTGTTCCATGTGGCTGAACCCTGTTTTGAAATGCAAACCATTTCTACTCATATCCCACACTCTCTATCTTTAACATGTAATCCTATACTCGCCATCTTGGGATATAGTAAAAATGCACTATATCCAGATAATAATGTGATCAAAAAGCCATCACTATATACAACTGCAAAGAAATGTAACATGAACATGTATCTCAATCGGTTGTTTACAGGGAGGTCCAGTTGACTAGGCACAGTGAAAAGTCAGCATATACGACTGTGGTCTGGCAGTCTGAGTGTAATAACCTGGAAAATATGCTCAACACTCAGTGGTTCCTCCATCACCCCCTGAAATCACTCTACCCACCCCACACTTAATGTGAAATAGAAAGTTGAATGGTCAGGCCTACGTACATTGAAAAAATTGGGATAGAAGCTAACTACTAGGTGCATATCAGCAAGAGTCATGGTGGCATGGCACATATATAGTAGAGTACGGTGAATATTCTAATAATAGGGCATCGTGTGTGTTATTATGTGGCTGGTACTAGTCCCCAACAAATGTAGTGCTCTTTTCCTTTTCGAGTTAGATTCTTTTGAAACTTCAATACCTTACTCTGCCAAAGGAATAAATGGGCTTGGGATGAGTGCGGCAGACGTGGTTAGGACGTCGTAAAGTATTAAGAGACAGATTACCACATTCTTGAATTAGATCTTTTCATAGGATTTGTTGACAGAAAGAAAATTATAGTAATTCCATTAAGGCAGCATAATCCTTAAACGATAAACTAATGAGTCATTATTATTTACAGCCATAGCTCCTAAGTTCACTCAGACATCCTACCATTAAAGAAGAAATCATAGCGAAGATATTCACGACCTCCTCGCTGAGTAACCTCGGTACCCACTTCATCAAGGGTTTTATGTGAGGGAGTAAAGGACTTTATCACTTCAGTCCAGTTAAAGCTTCATTATCTTCTTCAGGGCTTCCTGTTCAATTATGATGTGTTACCCACATTATTACAGAGATATTGGATGCCAACCTCTGGGTAGCGATGCTCACAAGTTGGGTTCACAAGAAAGTCAGACAGAAAAACACTGCAGAGCTGAAGTCAGCTGAGTTGCAGCCATATTAGAGATAATTAGTGAATGTCTGAATACCTTGCAGGTTGAGATGACTGCTAATCAGCTCCACTCGCTTGCACTTTCTGGATGTGAATGCTGCCTGGCGTATTTAAATGCCACCCAGTGCTGAGAGAGACAGCCTTTCCTCATCTCAATCATCAGTTCTGCAGGAACAACGATCCCTCACCCTGCCATCCATTTTTCACCCTCTCCTTATCAGCCTCCCTCTTTCTTTTCTCTATCTCCAGCCACCTTCATCCGCCTTCATTCTCCCATTTATGACTTTTCCCTTCACTTCCTATCCCACTGTCGCAATGCTGTCTTTCTCATATATCATGGCACCCTTCCTCGTTTCCCCCTTCAACAGCCTCATCTTCTCTTCTCTTCCCTCTCCCCTGTTTCTCATTATAACCATTCTCACTCACTATACCTTTCTGCATCAGCTCTCCTCTCTCGTTCATTTGGCCCCGACTATAGACCACTGCCTATATCTCCTGCACCTCTGCTCATTTATCACCTTTTCGTCTCGGACTGGCCAGGATGGACCTGGTAAACAAGTGGGAGTGAAATAGAAGGAGGAAAGGAGTGAATGAAAGAATCAATAAAAGAGGAGAATTCAAAGGAAAGGAAGTGGAAAAAAACTTTTTACGCTATTAACAAGCACATAAGTGTATTAAGAGCAATATTCAGCATTGGATGGCTTCATTGTTTTTTTAACCTATTCCAAAATGACAGGCAGCAAAAGTGTTGTGACTGTGCTCTAATATAAGCTGCTAATGTTAGCATGTTTAGCTAAACAGGTTGTGTTTTATAAAGAGCATGTATAATCTAGTTTTTTGCACTAAGTGGAAGCTCGTCCTGGATTCTATTAGGCTAATGCTCTGTCCTCTTAATTAGATTTAACTGTAAATGTAACTAATGTTACATGAGCTAGTGCTATGTTTGTGACTCAAAAGGGATTATTACTCATCCTAAAATCTTTTTCTCCTTAATAATTAAAAACGTCAGGCTCAAAAAAGAAGAAGAATGGAGGCTAAGAAGCAACAGATTAAGGTTAGAAGAATTACAGTAACATTGTGGTCCTACAATTTTCCTAAATTATATTCTATATAATATTTAATACCACTTAACACATAATACAATGAGCTCCGTGCATAGGCACTGATATCTGTTTCTGCCAGTGGGTAAAAACAGTTATCAAACTCCTTTCAGCACAATAGGACAATACAGCAGGGCAGACAAACATGTTGATGGAGCTAAGGGATGAAGGTTTAACTAACGATAAACATCATGAAATGCACAGAAAGTAACAATCAACACCGCCAAATCTATTTAGTAAAAAAAAAATTACATAAACAAAAGTCATAGGCCACCTGCACAACAGAAAAATGACATCACAGTTGCTGGATAGTATTCAAACTGAAGGAGTTGGAAGTCACTAAACCATGATGTAACTTTCAGCACAATGGACAGCTCCACTCGTACCAAGACTTTAATAAAACCTATATAATTAAAGATCAGAGTTTAACTAAGGATCCACATCATGAAGTAACAACACATGAACATAAATCATTAAGTGTGCAAAACCAGTCCAGCACCATTTTAGCCACAGGCTTGAAAATGACCTTTCTGAACTGCAGGATGTTATTGGCACAGTTGGTGAGAGTGTCACTAGTTTGTTGATCTCTGGCAATAGGGTGCTCAAGAGCTCTCCCTGGTCATCTTCAAGAAAATCCAAAAAATGCAGCAGACTCCTCGTTGTTTTTCTACATCCATGCACATATCACGATGGGGTGTCAACCTGACTTCATCCTAATCATCCCAATGTAACTGCGTGATGTTTCTGCAGTAATAAAATCCTCAACATCTTGCATGTGTTTGAACACAGAAGGACTAAATCTGAAATCCAGGGACGCTGCTCCATGATCTTGAAGTACTGCAGTCGGTACATTTCTTCTAGTGTATGAAAGCCGTGTGGCAGGGCCCCTACATCTTGCAAGCGGTGGGGAATTTTTCTCATTCTTGGAACAGTTGGGCTCTCCAGGTTCTGCAGGTGCAGCTGGCTCTTTTGGAGTGCAGCATGGACAATTTCCATGCAAGAAATTCAGCATGACTTTCAGCATAAGTACAGTATTTCTGCAAGTGCAAAAGCAGGCCGTTCACTTTTTCCTCCTTTGTCGTCTAAACACAGATCCTCAAGGAATTCCATTAGGGCGCTGTAGTTGGCAGCAATGGATTGTAAGGACGCACAGGGGTCTCAAAGACGGGCCGTAACCGTTGCTTCCCGGGCAGAAAAAGAAGCAGCCACATCGACATCCGCGTTAGCAATGGCAATAATGCTAACATAACATTTTCATAGAGTCTGAATCATTCCAGTGCTTTAGCGCAGCTGGAAAAGCCATCTCTTACAAAATTTTTCAAAGACTCCACATTGTGTGTTGTGGCCAGAGACAGCATTTTTAAAAAGGCAGCAGTAAAACACATTAGATTAATCCACGCACCAGTCTCTCAAATCCTAAGAACAGGTGTAAAACAAGTGTTTAAGAAACAAGAGAGATTAGAAGAAAAGGCTGTGTAGAATGAATAAATGACTCCAGTGTTGTGGCTATTAACTCGAGATTGTTTTAGATACAAACCATTTGACATTGAGAAAGGCAAAGGAAGTGCTTCCCACCTGCACACAAACAAAGAGAAAGAGACTAAAAGAGCAGACTTGTGATTGTTTTGAGTTTATGATGCTACTTGCGATTGATCAACACAAACTGTCCTGTTCTAAATTTCTCAATAAACCGGTTGCACAGGGATAAAAATCATCGGACAGTAAATCTGATTTAGTGGGTGATAAAAGTACAAATGTGCTTCAAAACTATAATACCACTGAACCTCAAGTGGTAATCTCTTCCCACTGGTCTAATGCAAGTGCACATACACACTCACTTAAAACACTCGCTCACACACCGAGCCCATTCTCTGGTTGGCTGGGGACCAAACTGTCACACTGAGGGAAGCAGCAGAAGGCCGGTATGTCTCCGACAGCTCTGTCTCTGTCTATCTGAGGCTGCAGGAGGCAACTCAACAGCTGCTTATGGTGAACATTCAATGAGGCATGTGAGAATACTGAGACTGAGACAGACAGAAAATCCTAAAGATGGACAAACAGAGGCAGAGAGGAGGGGGAGGGGGTGAGGGAAGATGAGTCAGAGGGAGTAAAACTGCAAGAGTTAGGTGAGAGAAGATCATTACACCCAGTGGATCTCAAAACTCTGAGCTCATTCCAGTATGATGAGATACTTGAGTGTTAACAGGATTCTCTGTTGGGTGGCAGTGTCTTGATTTGGGTACATCATTGGAGCAAACATAAAGTAAGATAAGTGTGGTTAGCACTGTTGCCTCCAATCTCCTTCTGTGCAGAATTTCTGTGTCTGGGTGGGTTTTCTCCAGGTACTCCAGCTTCCTCCCACAGTCCAGACATGCAGATTGGGGTTAGGATCATTTTAGACCCCAATACCAACCGTAGTTGTAGTTGGTTGTTTTTCGCTATCGTGATACGCTGGAGACCTGTCTGAGGTGCACCAAGCCTCTTGCCAATCGTCAGCTGGGATTGGCTCCAGCTCCCCCCGCAGCCCTCAAAGGGTTAGGGTTAAAATACATAATGAATGGATGGATAGATATTGACTTAACAAAGTATCTGTTAAGTGAGAACTAAAAGTACTCGTTGTGATTACATTTGGCAGTGGCCAAATAATGCCGCTCCTTGCACCAAACATTCTTTGCTGCAGGAAACAACCTTGGATTTTTTCAATCAGGTGCTCGGCCATGTCTACATGTATGAATGTTCATCCCTCAACTGATAAATGTGTAATATTTACTTAATCTAAATATAAGAATTATTCCAGTTGTGCTGTTTGTTCCACAACATCACCTTGAGTTTCTCAGTAACCTCAGCCTTAATCCCAACTCCCACTCACCCGATCTCCATGTGCCAACAGAACATTACCATGTTATCATCGCACTTTGTTCACACTAGTTTGCCTGTAATGTAGACGACTGGACGAGTAACTTCTGAAAACCTTGAACTACTTACCCCATAAGGCCCCACACATAGTAAAGAAAGGGACCTTTTATACTTATGGCGTATGTTTGTACTGTTTGTCTCAGCAAATAACCAAGAAGCATGGATTTACAGCAGAATAATGGAGTCAGTGTTTTATGTACAATCATGTCTGTGTTGTCCATTTTGATGTTAATGGGATAAAACCTGTTCATGAGGGCTAGCATGACTCTGCTATCGTTCACATCCATGGTACACGCACGCACACACACACACACACACACACACACACACACACACACACTCATGTCTTTCTATGGTTGTGAGAACACTCATTGACACAATGTGTTCCCAAGCTCACTGCTAAATGTCTTAACCTAAATTGAATTTAATCTGAGCACGTACCCTAAAACCAATGAATTTGTGAGGACCAGCTAATTATCCTCAATGCTACAATAGTCCCCTCACAACTATAAAGACAAGGACACACACACATACTTGCACATACACACACTCATGTATATACTATTTCTATGAAAATATAAATGTTTAATTATGTATTAACACAGGAAAAAAATAAAGTATTTTCAAAGCACCATTCATGTTTCTTGGCCAATTCTTAAATAATTTCTTCTTAGAAAATTCCTCCACAAGAATTTCTTTAGTATAAAAAACATATTTTTTTCAGTTTCTTGTCATTTAGTAACTCTTCTGGAGCTTTCACTCACAGTGCATTATTTGTATTTATATATATATATATATTTATATATATATATATTTGTGCATTAAGTCAGATATTGTGCACAGTGCACACAGAAGATTTTACATGGAATCTTCAAGTCTATGCAAGACTGTATGTTTTTTAGATTCATTTTTGGTGATTATATCAAAGATAAATCTACAGTGGAATATGTATCATGTAATGATAAAGTCTGATAAAAATAATAATGATGATAATAATAATGATAATAATAATGTTTATATGTGTTTATATAATAAGTTGCAAGTGGTTTACAAAGAAGAAATAACAGCAGACAGTCAGACAAACAGCAGCCTGAAGCCAGGAGAGGGAATTAGTTTAGCTAAGGAAAAAAGCACTTCTAAAGCCTCCTAATTAGCACATTGCATTTCTTTTGTTTACTCACAATATGAACACAAAAACGCAGTAGTGAGGAACGATCCTTTTATTTCTTTGTTCTGTTCTTACAACATAAGGCCACAGGATTCTTGACTCCATAAGGATATCATTTCTATTTAACAATGCATGTTTGCACAAAGATCCCTCTCACTGCTGGCCTTTATCTGATTTTAATCAAACCCACACACACCTAAATCACTTGAGAGTTTGGTAAGTGTGGGAGTTGTCTCTCTGAAACCTAACAGAGGGTGTGGGTGGCCTGAAGTTGGCCTCAAGCATACGGGGCATGGCACGGTTAGATTGCGATAGATAGCCCAGGCCTTCAAAGTCAAGTCAACACACACACACACAGTCACACTCACTCCCACACATCCTGGGCATCCTGTGGAACTGGAAACATTGACTAGACTCAGAGAGTGCACAACTGCAGGTGTTCACACACTTGGTTCGACTTACACACACACAAGCTAATGCTGTTATGTCAGATCAAATATATATTTGCTTTATGATGACACAGTGGTGGCAGATGATGACTCAGTAGATTGCCAGAGGAGGCTGATGGAGCCTAATGAGGCAAACACTCGTGTTCTTGGTTCTGTTCTGTTCTTCTGTTCCAGCACTGGATGGCAGGAAGCTAGGTCGGTGTGTGTCAGATGTGATGTGGACGTCAAGGATGTGAAGACACAGCCACATGGCACATGGACGGACACGCATCAACAGGATTATAAACTGAGCTCTCCTCCCCTTTCAAGTGTGACTCTGTCCCCCTGCACTCAAGGCTGTTATCTGAATACCCAGACAGAGGAACAATGCAAAATTAATGTCACCATTTCTCCAACCAACTGCTCCAATACATTATGGCTGGCAGGTCACATTAAGTTTGAAATTTATTAGATATGTGAATTAAGAATGGCATCGATCGCAGCTGCTGGAGATTCATCTTCCGTGAAGCTAAAGCTATGGATTAGTTTGCTTAAATGTTTACTCGATGCTGAGCCAGTTCTGCTGCAGTGCTTGTCTCAGCTGAACAATAACAGGAAGCACACAGCGAGTTGTGAAGTTGTGTGCCTGTGTGTGTGTGTATGACATAACCACTGTATATCCTCTTTGACCCCTGCAAAGTCTGTTTACCCACGAGAGTTTGCCGTCGAGTGAAAGCCAGAAACCTCCATCCATGTCACCTTCTGCCTGTGGGCTTGATGTTTACAGTCTGATCTGACTTTTCTGTGATTTGCTAACTTATATATTTTTTTGGAACACCTCGTTAATTAAATTTTAAATGCTGCAATAGAAATAATGTTTTTTATTATCATATTATTATTTGTAGAAGTAGTTATAGTAGAATAAGTTACCTGCTCACTAAATTAAGTTGGAGCCTGAGATCACTTGCCTAACAGCATAAAAACAGCTAAAAAGAGCTGCTAGCCTGGCTCTGTGAAAATAGAAAACAAACACACACAGTTGAACGCAGTGAAAAGCTGTGAGCCAACTGCCAACAAACATCAGAAGAAGAACATTTTATGAGAGGTGACTGTAATGAAGCCAGTCATGGAACCTGGACCAGCCTCTCATCTATTTTGAGTTTTGCTGCATAATTTGGTTCATGCAGGTTAAATAAGGTTTCCACAGAGTATTCGTGTTGTGCACCTCTTTTTTCCCCACTTTCTGCATAATAAATATAAAAAGAGCTGGATTACATTTGAACACTAACCTGTTTTTAGGTTTTCCTGCTTTATGGCATATTGTTTAAGAGCTAAAACATGTGCTTTCAAAAGTAATTTGTGTCTGTGATTCAATAACTTGAATGGTACAAGAGCGCAGTCCCCTTACATTCCATCATCATAGATAACAGTTCCCTAAATATACCTGGTTATCTCTTTATTCAGATCTATGCTTTAGTTATCTCAAAAAGACAAAGATAAAAATTCTGTATCCAGTCCTTTAATTAAAACTGCTCCAAAAGTTAATGGGTTCTTCATTGGCCTGTACCCCACCCATCCACCAATAAACTCAGCCCTGTGGTTTTTGCACAATCCTGCTAAAAGTCATACAATCAACAATGAAAACATTTTGTGAGTTAATAATTCAGCTAAATCCCCCAATTCAGTGATTCACCCAAAGCATCTGAAGGACAGAAATTGCAGGTCCCTCCTTCCTGCTACAACCAGTTCTGCTCCCATGACCACATGCACCTTTACTAGCACACCCAGGTTTTCAATTCCGTTTTATTTGTATAGCGCCAAATCACCACTTTACGTTATCTCAAGGCCCCGAACATGAGGTCGAAATATTTTAGAGAAACCAAACATTTCCCACAGCGAGCAAACACTTGGAGCATGGAGAGAAATAAACTTGTTTTCAATTAATTTACCTGCACAATAATCATTGTCTATTCTTCCAGTTTCAAGACTTTGTGTTTCTATTATATATTTTTTTTACTATTTTATTATTGAGTGTTTCCCTACTAAAGGACTTAATGCATTGAGTTTGGTATGTGGCTGTTAGGATCTGAAGTTTCCCTCCCCCCAGGTCTGCTCCTCCTCCTCGCTCCGTCACACCTGTTGCCTATCATCATGCAAACCAAACCCACCTGCCGCTGCCATATTTAAGCCCCAGGTCTGTTGACAACGACTCAACCGTTAAAGTTGGTAACCACTGAGACTGCTGTTTGTGCTTTTTTGATTTGTGCCTGCTATCCTTACTCCTGCTTTACTGTTTTGACTCAGGTTTATACCTTGTGTCTGTTTTAGCAGCTCTCTGTGTCAGTCTGGCTTTTGTTATGTTCCATCTCGATTTGGATTCATCACCTACCTTTCTGCTCTCGCATACAAACTGTTGGATTCTCCTGTTGCATGTTCTAATATTCACTTTCACTCTGCCTCTGTGTCTGAGTTTAGTGTTTGGGTCCAGTTATTGTGTTAAACTATACACTAGGCAGTGCTATAGGGCTGGGGGTGGATGAGGAGGAAGAGTTTTTTTTAAATGGAAGAAATAAACAAGAAGTAGTTTATTTTTGTGAGTGTGTGAATTGAGAACTATGAACATGAACTAGTTTATTTGAATCTGTGTGAACTGAACTTTGAGCTACAGCAGCTTTTATGATGCATTAACAAAACACTGCTTATGTGTGAAACTGTCAAACTATTCCTTTATACGCTAATTTCAGGTTTCATTTCCTTCCCCTCTGCTTCAGGCTCGACAAGATGAGAAGGAGCAGAGCTGGAACTTATTTCCTCTTTATACTGAGTGTATATAATGAAGTGAGGGTTTACACCTCAGACTTTTACACAGGCCGGATGAACAGAGATGTGCAGGATGTGTCTGAATTGAAGATATGTAAGTGCTTCCTTTTTGCAGGTTTTCACTGGAGTGAGAAATTTAATATTCACCTTCATCACGCATCGATAAAAACACACACCGACCCCCCAAAAAAGGAAAAGCTGCTCATTTGAAACGTCACACACAGAGTTTGCTGCAAACATATCTCATGGAGTCACTTGACCTTGGTGCACATGACTCACTTTGAGCTCCTGCTGCCACTTAAGCTGTGCACGGGGCCTTCACAGTATCTGTCCTCTCCCTGAGAGGAGACACTCGCCTGGCTGTTTCTTAGTGGGCATGCTTTCATCAAACTTACAGAGGGAGCGTCAGAGCTCCCTTTGAGGAAAAGACTGTTAAATAATGCAGGTGGTTAAGTAAGCTTGTCGGGACGAATTGTAAAAAAAACCCTGCTTCACTGAACCAGAGCCTGTTAAGAGAAAGGAGGGGGTGTGTGACTTTCAGCCCTGCAGAATTCTGTTCACACACACACACACGGGTTGAATACAGAACGTGGTGAGGAACGTGTGCTGTGTGCAGCTTGATGACGTTGAAGTCTGGAGTGTCCTCTACCCTGCCATCATGTTCCTCTCTCTGGTACTTGTACAGATCCGTTTGACACAAAGCATCCTCTGCAGCCAACAAAGTGACACTCGCACACCTACCCTGACCTGTCCTGACCGGCCAGGACAGAGCAGGAGGAGGACAGCTCATCAGACATGCTGTAACATCATCGCCTGGCAACAGGGAGTACAAATGTCCGCTTGGGTCCGGGCTGAGATGAAGATGTGACCAGCATCAAATACTGTGAGGACAGTCGCCTCAGCTGTAGCCTGGGCCCCATCTTATATGTTAGTGCAGGGCTGCCACCTGCTGGTGGGATAAACTTACTTCCCCTCTGTCCCCTGAGAACTTCATATCCAGTGAGGCACCACACGGAGGAAACCAAATTACCAGTTGTCACAAACATTTGTCACGTGTTGGACCCGAGGAAGTCAGTGTAGGTGGAAGGAAGTGAGAATATATGCCATGTAACCTGAGAACTGTGGCTGAGGGCGGTAGACCGTGGAGACTCCTGCTGGGAGAAGGATGCAGGGATCCACACACACATGCATCACACTGCAGGTGGTGTCCTGCAGGGCTCCATGAAACAGCTCCTCGCTCTAACAAATGCCAGAGGACGGCTCCATTTGTTTCATGTTCTTTTCGCTTCGAAGCCAGTTAGTATAAATTCCTACAAAACAAAGTTGCCGCCTCAACAATAGTTGTTAAACTCACTTCATCCTGGAGAATTTAGATTTAATCATATCACATGATATCACATGGCACTTCACCATCCCTGATTTTTGTGCAATCGATGCACATTTTCACATATTATGCCTCATTTGTTTGATTCATACAAAAAGTGAAATACCTGAAGAAGGCCGTCTGTCTGATCACACAGCCTGACCTTTAGCTTAGCTTAGCATGAAGACTGTACACAGTCTGGAGAGGGGGAAAAACAACATAATTTAAAGCTTCAAGCAGAATAGTTTCTGTCAGCATCTTGTTAAATTATACTTTAGGTTTCACAAATAACGTACTTCTTAATACTTTGTCACATCAGCACCACATTATCAGAACTATCAGGACCGTGAAAATATTGTGTAATATGTCTATTCTGACGAAAGAACCACACAGACTCGTGGGAAATTGTCTTGTGGAGGAGGAAAGGTTTGGTGTTGGTGACATCTGTGTGATATTAAAAGTTGTTTCGTAGTTTGTGAAGAAACAAAGAGATTGTTTCAAGACTTTGGATCCAGAAGAAGTGGAACTCCAGTGAGCACTGGCACTCCTTCCCTTAAGAACTTTATTAATCCTCATAATATTCAAAGTTTTTCTCATATTATGACTTTATTTCCGTAATATGACTTTTTTTCTCATTAAATTCCCACTTTATTCTTATAATATAACTTTCTAATTAAAGTACACCTTTATTCTCATTTTATCACTTTCTGTTATTAAATTATGAATGTAGTCTTGTAATGTTGAGTTCTTTTCTTATTAAATTACGACCTTTACTCGTCATACTGTCCTAGATTTTTACCTTGTAAATGACAAAGCATAACGGCTACTAAATGGCCCTTGTGATGGAAACTTCAAGACTGAACACTGAACCTCAGTCGCACCATGTTCCTTGCAGCTCTAGATCCTGCAACTGCTGAAATTGTTCATAAATTACATCAAATATTGCAAATCAACCCATTTTTTATTCATGAATATATATTAATTCTATACAATGTTGATTGGTTAAAATGTACATTGAAATGGTGAGCACTGCTGGGCTTCATTCAAGAGGACACTGTTACACTGCAGAGGAAACGTCACTCCTGCAAACAGTTTTGAACGAGCCACTGGTTGATTTCATATGAACACAACAACTAGAGTGATTTTCCGATTATAGAAATATATCAATCTTTAGGTTACATCCAATGTGGTGGAAGGATAAATCCACTGATACTGTACATAAACAACTGAAAGATGTAGCATAGCTGATTGTCCTGCTGTTATTAAGGCCTGTTGATAATCTGTACATCAGTCTCAATTAAATCAAACTCTTGTCTTCATCCATATATATATATATATACATACAAAAAAAATTATTTAACTATAAATTATTACTAAACACATGTACAAAACAAAGATTATAATGCCCAAACTACAGAAACAGAAGATGTTACGTAACAAAAAGGAGAACAGACGCTGACATAAGATAAAAGAGGAATGTTTGCAGTGTAGTGACAGGAAAATAACTGTGAAAGAAGAGATTATTGCTTTGGTCTGCAGGGGGCAGCACAACATGTAAAGAATTGTCCACGTGAAGGAGGCAACAACAAGCTGAAGTGGCCAAACGTAATCTCACAGTTCCACACGTATTCCCTTATGGATTTACTGTATCCTCATCTTCCATATGCAGGGACGCTGATGGCTGGTTAATTCATAGAAAGACATAAAGACTCCGCTCTTTCCCCTCCTCGCCTCAGTCGTTGTCGCTCTCCGCTGTGTTTGTGGTGGTCAGAACCCGAAGATATCGTCCCCGAACGGGCTGAGACCACGTGGAGTGTTTCCATTGGTGCTGTCCCAGTCGGGTTCTGTGAGCCACTCGTGTGGCATCACCCCAATGTCCAGGACCTGGGGGTTAGTACGCGACACTGCCAGTCTGAGGAGACAGAGGAGGAAATGATGAGGAGAAATAAGGAGCTCTCTGAAGACAATGTGCTGGACATGGCTGAGGACACACAGGGGTCAAAGTTCACCATCCTGATGTTCTGTCAACAGAAGCTTATGTGGTGAATGTGGGAGTGATTCAGTGTCCGCAATCATCGTAATGAAAGAACATGTCAGCCACTGCATCAGTGTGACTCACTGGTGCATTTGTTACCGCTGTATGTTTCGTTTGTAGGTTGGTTTGCTTGTGAACAGGATCAGGTTAAAAAGTACTAAAGGGATTTCCACAAAACTTGATGTAAAGATGGGACACGGGCTGAGAAAGAAACCAGTAACTGGGCAAGAATCCATGAAAGGAATCAGTGTGTGTCTTCTAGCTTGTGATTTCCGTCTGATCACCAAATGTAGTTTGGTGATCAGACGAAGTAGTCCGGAGTTTCGCCTGATGAAATAGTGTGTAATGTGTGAGCCTACTATGACTGCATGACTCCCGATCATACGACAGCAACTCATGTAGCCTGAAGCTGGGATACACTGGAAAAGATCACAAGCTGGAATTCATGATCTTAGATGTCCAGCAAGATGTCTTATTTTGTAGTACAGCGTAGTCTGATTTGTTTTTCCCCAGTTACAACCGTCTTCTCTTCCTGCTCTTCTTTTTCAGATGACTTCAGGCTAATGTTGTGTAGCTTGAGTAGCTGCAGATTCTTTCACTGAGCTTCAGGTCAACTAGTGATTTAAATGCTGCCTCCGCAGCAGCTCAGACCTGTTATATAACTGAAACCACACGTCAGTTGTTATCTGTGTTGTTCTGTTTGGCTGCATACAGCCATGTTTTCTCTCAGAGATAATTCATGTAAACAAAGTCTGGCTGGAGATCGACAGGATTACTTCGAGACATGATGTTCATTACAACCAGAGGGCAAACAGTGCAATGGTCTCTGAGGTTCAGTTAAGACTCACTGCTCCACTTTTATACCACTGACCACAAACACAATCACTGCACAACAAAGCTTTTTGTGGACGCTGAAGTCCCATTATTTCCATTTCTGTGGTCCACACACACGTTTGTACTTCTATCTTAGTGAGGACACTCATTGACATAATAAATTCCCTAGCCCCTTACCCTAACCATCCAAACTAAATGTCTAACCCTAAAGCTAATTCTAACCCTAACCCTAAAACAAAGTCTTACCCGACAAACAGCCCATTGGAAAAGTGAGGACAAAATGTCAAAATGTCCTCACTCTAGTGGGTTTTTGCTTCAAACTGTCCTCTCAAAGATACAAGTACAGGAACACACACACAAACAAACACACAAACAGTCTATAACAGAAAGGGTTATTCAATTTTGGTGATGATGAGACGGGTAGAGATGATGGCATTTTTTCACTTGGACTGAAATTCTGCACTTTGAATCAGTTTCCTTTTGTAAACCCAGCCGACACTTTCTCCATGTAGGAGTGAATAAAGAACACATGAAGCTATTTCACACTACTGACCTATAAACTGTGTCATTGGGTTTGAAGATGGTTGGATGGAATGGATTTAGGTTAGGTTAGTGATTCAGGTCACTACGCTACACAGTGAGACAGAGGTGCTCAACTTTACCTGGACATGAACCATAGCTATCCAGAGCACAGCTGGAGACACAAACACACAGTAGATTGAGGACAGTTCAAAGCTCAGTGGTCAACCAAACTATAATAAGTCACTGATTGCATCATTTCTGTCGAGGTTATCCTTCATATCCTGGAGGAAATCCCAAGGTTGTGCAGTACACACAAATCATCAGTACATGGCACTGTGGAGCCAAGCAGCAGCTATGAGATACTGGAGGATTTGAAATGGCAGAATTTTTGGGGACGGGGATCAAAACAATCAAGCAGAAGAGGAATCAGTCTGAATCAATTTCACTCGTGAACAAAATGATTAAAACAAAAATGATCTCACCTGGAGAAGGCTTCATCCAAACCATCCTCTTTCTCCTGAAAAGAAAATGAATCTTGGCTAAATAGACAGTAATAGACAAAATATAGGGGAACAGAACACACATCCCGTAAAAACAGGAGATAACAATAGAAATAATGAAATATATTTATATATATATATCTATATATATATAGACAAGAGCAGAAGAGGAGAATCGTACCCAGGCAGGGTTGTTATTGGTCTCCGGGGGCCTGTGATTGTCCAACTGATCCTCTTCCATATTCCCATTGGTCTCAACCACAACATTCACACTGTCCTCAAAGTTCAATAGGTTGTCTGTGGCAACATCTAGTTGTGAAGTGAAAGGAAGGACAATCAATCGTTGTTTTACCACATAAAGGTAATCAATCTATACTGAATGTAAATCATTGACAGCTATGCTAACGGCCCAGTGAGGCTTCAGCAATCGGTGCTGGATGAAAAATTGAGATAAACCTGCTCTTAGATTAACACTAATGAAGAAGAAAAAAGACCCGGTCCACACATGGAGGTTTCAGAAAAGACTCACACTCAAATTGTCTGAATCTGTTGTTAGATTTCATTTAGAAATCCACGGTCCCCAGATTGGTCCCCTGACTGACTTTGGCCAGATTGAGGTTGACATTTAAGCGCCAGAGGGAAATATCCTGAGTGAGAGCCTTGAAATCTGCGTCATCTGTTCACATTCCCTTGAGAATAAAATTATGACGCTGATGTCCTGACCTTTCCTCTAGTGTCAGCATGAGGTTGACATTTTGGTTTTTTATTGACATATCTTTGCCGTGATGGTACAAACCTATTTATGTTCCTTCAAGAATAAACAGTTAAACAGAACAAGCGCCACCAGCAGGTCAAAAAGTTGTCCAACACTTTGACTTATGTCCTACAAAAGTCCCATCAACCGCAGCTGTGATCTGGGTTTAGTGCTAACAGATTAGACATGGACCACATTGAAAAGTTTAAAAACACATCATATACATTTTTCTCAAAGATGGTTTCTGTCATTTTCGGTAGTTCTACACTGATGTATGTCCATGCTATGGCAAGTTTGGTTTAATTCGTTATTTGATGCTGCAGCTTGACTTAGAGTCAATGATTCAAAGCCCTGTGCTGAGCCTAAGAACTCTCACAGAACCACAAGCCTTACTGCAGACTCTTGTTTTATTTTTTACCTGTCCCCTTCAGACTCCCCAGGCTGTTAGATCTCTCTGAATGAGAACTGCTGCTCGCTTCTCCAGCTGAACCAGACTTCCCTCTTTTCCCTTTCTCTAGGGAGAGAGAAGTAAAGAGACACAAGCAAGTCAAGATGGTGTGTGTGTGTGTGTGTGTGTGTGTGTGTGTGTGTGTGTGTGTGTGTGTGTGTTAGTGTGTGTGTGTGTGTGTGTTAGTGTGTGTGACTTGACGAGTGGGAAGCGAGGTGTCTACCTTCTTTGGCCACTTGCCAGAGTTCAAAAGCTACTGTGAAGGCCTGGGCCACAGTCAAAGCCACAGCCTGAGCCTGGAGAGCAGGAGAGAAATACAGTTTGTAACAGACCGTGAGTGAAGACAGTTCATCTGTGTTCACTGACCCAATGAAACCCGGTCAAACATAAGACTATTAGCTTATTGGGGACCTTGTTCACAATGAGCCACTTATTTCCTGAACTGATCCTGTTGTTGTGATCGTGATGCAGA